TCTCTTTACTTGCGGTCTGCGAGTGTCGTTTGATCTGAAGTGGGTCTCTTGCAGGCAGCCTAGGCATGGGTCTTGTTTTCTTATCCATTCGGTTGCCCTGTGTCTTTCGGTCGGCGCGTTCAATCTGTTTACATTTAAAGCGATTACCGATAGGCACGTTGTTACTGTCATTTTCTTATTCATCTTGGTTATTTCTCTTTCCTTTTTTGTCCCTTCTCTTTTGACAGAAGACCCTTTAACGTTTCTCGTAATGCTGGCTCGTTGTCTTTGAACTTTGGCACTTTAATGATGATGTGTCTCGGTGCAGGTCTGTTGGAATTCCTCCTGTTTGGGACTCTGTGCTTCCTGAACTTGTGTGTCTAATTCCTTTGCCGGGGTCGGGAAGTTTTCTGTCATTATTTCTTCAAATAGATTCTCAATCCCTTGTCCTCTGTCTTCGTCTTCAGTACTCCCATGATCTGGATATTTTCACGCTTCATGTTGTCCCAGAGGTCTCTTAAACTCTCCTTAATTTTTTTAAAATTCTTTTTCTGTTTTGTCGTTCCGATTGGGTGTCTTCTGCTTCCTGGTCTTTTAATTCGCTGATTCGATCTTCTGCTTCGTCCAATCTACTGTTGAATCCTTCTAGTGTATTGTTCATTTCAGTTAATGTATTCCTCGTTTCGTCTGGTTCGATTTTATGGTTTCTATGTCCTTTTTTAAGCTGTCGAGGTTCTCATTGTGCTCATCCATTCTCCCCATGAGTTCGATGAGCATCCTTCTAACCATCATTTTGAACTCTGTCTCTGGTAGGTTCCTTGCCTCAACTTCATTTAGCTTATTTTCTGCAGTTTTATCCTGTTGTTTTATTTGTGGCCTGTTTCTTTGTTTTCTCCTTTTATTAGCCTCTCTGTGTTTATTTCTATGCGTCAGGAATATTTGTTTCGTCTCTCAGCCTTGGCCAGATGGCCTAACGTGGCAGGTGTCCTGTGTGGCCCAGTGGCGCACGCTCCTGATCCCTCTTGCTGGGGGCTCTGGACGTGATCTCTGTGTGGGTTGTGTGTTGCCAAACCTTTATTGTTGTTGCCAAGCCTTTATTGTTGTGAGTAGATCAGTGGATGAGGTTAACGCTCAGGCGGATTGTAGGAATCGGCCGCACCCACAGGGTAAGAGCTGCTGTGTGGGGGGCTGACCCCACCGAGCGGGATGTGCCCTAGCAGGCTTGTGTACTTACTGCGACCACCCTTTGTGTGTATCACTAACAGGACTAGTCAGGAGTCGGTCTTTTGTGGTCTGGTGCCAGCCTCCAGATGCGTGGGTTTTGTGGCTCCTTGGGAGGGGCTCCCCCGTAGGCCAAGGTCAGCCTCTGGGTTTATTGCTCAGGGCTACGTGGAGCAAACTACAAAGTGATCCACTGATGGTCGTTGCCTGTGCTGAATCTGTAGCTAAATGGAAGAGACAGCGCTGTAGGCAGCTGTCAGTTATCCCCCGTCCCTGACCTGTGGCAGTTTGGCAGAGGGACCGGTGCTCCTCAAGGCGTGACACTGTCTGTCTGTTGTCTGTAAGTCTCTGAAACTGGATGAGCCTCTGGGTGATACGTGTGTCGGTGGCGCAGGGACCCCGGGAGTCTCCTGGGTCTATTGAGGAAATTTCCCCCTGCCACTTCCAAGTCAGTTTACGTGCCCATGCTGTCTCTGTGGCTCCCCGCACAAGTTTCCACTCATAGCGAGGTTGGCCGATGCCCACGTTGGGCCTGAATGCGCCCTCCAGGGCAGGGGCAGCTGCCTACCAATGTGCAGCGGGCACTCTGTGTACTGGATGGGGCAGGAGCTCAGGGAGTCAAGGGCGGTCAGGCCAACATAGGCCCCTGCAGGCCCCTCAGGAGATATTGCAGCTTGTCCAGGCAGCCGCGGTCTGGCCACAACTGTTTTCCTCGAAACGCGCTCACCGCGTTGGCCAAGGTCTGTTGCCTGCGCTGACTGCCCAACCCCAGAGCCACGCGGGGCAGGGGAGGCCGCCTGTTAAGGGGCTGCGGGCGCCGTGTGGCTTCGGGGAAGCGGATCTCGGGCAGGCAAGGTCTGTTGGGCAAACACAGCCTCGGTTTACCTGCAACTTCTGTGCCTGGGCGTTCCCGCTGTAGACACAGGTCGCAGTGAGGCCAGCTGCCGTCAGGGGCGGTCCCTCAGACCCCTGTGCTCCCTGGACACAACACTGCGACTCTCGCAGGCAGCAGAGGTCTGCCTGCCGCTGATCTCCCTGCAGTGCCCGCCCTGTGCCCGCCAAAGCTGGTCGCCTGTGTGGCTTAGGGGTTCAGGGGAGAGGAGAGGCTGGGCTGTGGCAGTTCACTGACAATGGGCCGCCAGGGGCAATTCGTGGGTAGGGCGAGGCAAGTCCCAGATCAGAGCAAGACCAGCTGCTGTCTGAGACTGGCCCACTGGACCCCAGTATCCACCCGAGTTCGTGTTGGCAGCAGGGATCTGGCTGACCCTGTCTCTGAAATGCGGCTCACAGCGCTGGCTGCCTTCTGGGAATGCTTGGTCCTGAATCGGAGCAGGGCTCGCTCGGCAGCCACCCAGCAGGAGATGCCTGGCGATCCGCGGGTTGGGCGGGGTGGGCGGAGCCCCTCTGACCAGCGCTGCTCATTGTCCCTGTGGGGGAGGGGTCTGCACGGTCAAGCTGGCGTGGTCTGGGGATTACCCTGCAGTGTCCCGGCTGAGTGTCCGCAGGTCAGAAAGCCTGTGCGTGGGTCCTTCAAAGGGATGTCTAGGGATTCAGGCTCCTTCCTTCTCACTTAAATGGCCGAATCCCCTCTGGTTTCCACAGTCAGAGTTATTGGAATCTCCTCTTCCCTGGGCTGAGGAGCCCCCAGATGAGACCGGGACCCCCCTCTTTTTCAGGGGAGCCTCTGCAGCCTCGCTCTTTCTCCCGGTGATCTCCACCGCCCACGGGTGCGGGGCCAGCCCGATTCGTGACTTTGCCCCTCCTACCGGCTTCGATGTGGCTCTCTGATCTTACATGGTCAGATGTAGCTGTTATGATCCGCTGATTCTCCACGTCGATTATTTTATAATTTGGTTGTAATTTCAGTGCGCACTTGGGAGGGCACGAACCCTGCTTTACTTAGTCGGGCATCTTCGCAGGGGTCTCTGTCTGCTTTTTTTTTTTTTTTTACTAGAGTTTCCTCTTTCTCCTTCACTTTTTAAATTTCAGTACAGATCTCTTGTCATTTCAGATACTTCACCAATTGTCTTCCATGTAAGTTTCTCTGTGGCATATTTCTTTGGAAAGAAGTCTTGACCTTAATGGAATCTGACTCACCAGTTTTTTTAACCTCACGAGTTGTGGGTTTTGCCTCTTGTATAAGAAGTCCATCCCACAGCAAAGTCCGATATATCACCCTACATTTTCATATTGAGCTTGACAGTTTTACGGTTTCGACTTCCACATTTCACCCACGTGGCCATCTGTGTATAATGTGAAGTAGGGATTCGCCATACACTGGGTGTCTGGGCTCCCATGGGGTCAAAGCCAGCTTTCCAGAAGGCAGCCGACACCGTCTGCCTTGCATGCATTAAGAACAGTAGAGGAATAGAGTTAGCCTCATTTAAAATGTAAACTTTCATCATCTTTTAAAAAGTGAATGTTGCCTCTGTCCGACGATGCGTTCATCTCTATAAGAAAATAAATTATGTGTTTGGTTCGGATAAGGCAGGTGACCAACGTGGCCAGACAGTGGCGCGGGGGACACACTTCATTCTGCATCTTAGTCAATATCGTAGTCACCGTCCACTGAGCTGGCCCTCTAACCTGTGACCCCTGCCTCAGCCGTCGGCGGCAAAGTCTCCTCAGCCTTGTTTCACAGAGGACAGAACTGGACGCAGGCAGAGAAGTCGCCCAACCACGTTTCTTAGTCAGAGTAGCTGAAGCTCTCTTGTGACAACGAGTGAGTGGGCAGTCTGGAGTGAGTGGGCAGTCCGGCCGGAGAGCGGTCCAGGCCCCCTGTGCTCCACGTGGCGACGCGGGGATCCAAGCGAGCAGGGAGGAGAGTCTGGGGACGGGGCCCCCCTCTCGAGTACCTCGGACCACAAGCGTCAGGCGTCACTTCTACTTGACCCAGTGGCTAACGCTAGGCCTGAGGCCCCAGCCTCAGCACACGGGGGGCGCTGGGGACAAGGTGGGGGAGCGCTGGCGGAGGAGGCGCCGCGGCCTCTGCCCGAGGGCCCGGCCTGGGGCTTGCTCTCCCCTCCTTTCCAGCTTCTGGTGACGAGTCCTGTCATTCTGTCCCTCTGCAGCCACCTCGAGAGCGATCGTCCGCAGTCGTGCGCCAGGCAGCGACCTTCCCGTGGA